TCCGTGTGATCGACGGCCACTTCCTCCTTTCGATTCGTGCAACCGCGAGCTCGCGTGCGTTCTAACCGACAGATCGGTAGCGGAACACGTGCGAGCGCAGCAGAAGTCCATTTGTCTGAACTCCACTTACTGGAACGAAATTTTAGTCAATGGTCTATTAACCGAACTTTTGCTATTACGTAAGCGAAAACACGTAATAGATAGCGAGGAAAATTTCTCGATTACACGAACCGTTTGTGCCTAGACGAATTCGGATAAACTTTCGTTCAGAGTTCCACTGTAGCGGAATACGCGGCATGTTCACGCCGTCAGTTTGCAGCGTTTTTCTCGTATAAATGGTAGACTTTCAAGAGAAACGAGAGAGAAACTTTTACACTGCCTTGTATACAAGGTATCCTGCGAAAATTATAGCTCCGAAACGGTGAAAGATGGAAAAGAAATTCACTGGACAACGTGCGAATTCATCTCGAACGACACACGATCTGGTGTATACGTTCGCTTCGTCCCCTCTATTTTTCCGAATGGAGCTAGAAAACTTTTTCACGCGCCAATCGATGCGCCACCACGATGCAACGTACATATCACGTATAATAACTCGCTTAGTATAGATCGGTGCAACAGTAGCGTAAATTACCACTCGAATCTGAAAATGCTTAGTTTCAGAGATACTTCGATCTCAATTTCACGAAACTGAGTGGACCAATTATAGGAAAACAAAGATGAAAGTATCGCATTGTCTCCTCTTGTCTGTGATAGCCGTATCGGCGGACGATTCGTACATCGGTGGATAAGGAACAAAGGGACAAATGTTGAAAGGAGACGCGCGATGGAAGATCGAAAGGGAACGGGACGAAACAATAATACGCGTGGATGAGACGACAGCCACGCGACCTACATTCCTCCGACAGGTGGACTCGTGTGTTTGAAAAAGAAGCGAGTCTTGTCGAGGAACTCTCGATCAGCCCTTGTCTACGTGCGCGTCTCTCACGAGCGTGGGTCTTATTTTTCGAAGCGATAGAAGCTCGAGAGTAGGGGAAACGTGATTGTCAAGTTTCGATGCTGGTCGCTTTTGTTCGAAGGAACAGGAAGCTTGTCGGTAGTCGATTACGAAAGATACGAAGATCACAGGAAACAACGCGACAAGTACATTTTCCCTGGTTCCCCGAATTTCGGCTCGCTTTACGACTAACGAGCAACGTTTTAATATGAAACTAAAGCTAAAAATAGTAAGATGCTATCGTCATTTCATAAATACCAACGACACAATCCTTTCTTACGGTTGTGTCAGCCAGTACAATCTAAATAATATGCCCATTTTCCTGGGAAACTACGTAGCCAAGCGTAATTCCTGCCCATCGCCAACCGATTTCTCCATGGTCGCGCGTCAGCAGATAAAAGTGTCACGTTGTTCGCTGGATGGTCACGGATCGATTAGATTAAGCTAATCTCGCGGTCGATATCGTTTCCTTTACCGGAAATCCGAGATTTTGGAAAACGATACGCACGCTCTGTCTTCGTTCATCGACGACAGAGAAAAAGCCTGGTTTTTATCTTGGTCGAGTTATCTGTTCCACGTTGTTATTACGAAATTTTCGAATCGCCGCGTTCAGCAGCGGCTTCGTTGGTGTTAATTAATTGGTAGTGGAACACGTAGCTAATCAATGATCTCTTTTGCTCGCTGAAATCGCTCCAACGGTTTCCTCTTTTCCACGGACGTAATTAACCGTGGTTCGTCGGTTCCCTTTGCTCGCATCGCGAACCACCGAGAAATCGGGCCAACAATGATCGATCAGCTAACGTGTTTAACTACCAACAAACTCGAGCGCCGTTATCGGTTTTTCCCATGTATCTGTGGCTGCGCGTCTTGCGCTTAATTTATTTTCCATTTGGTCATCGTCGACTGGTCGTCGATATTGGCAGCGATTAATATTAATCGTAAAATGTCATCGTCGATACTAGCCCGATACTCGGCAAGATGGCCCTGATCGACGAAATGGCGCTTACTTGCCGCAACATCTGAACCAGCACGCGACGATACTTGGTGAAAATTGAAGGGTGGTCTTGTAAATTAACCCCACGACCTCGATAATTTTTAATAGCGATCGTCTTATGCCTGGCGCGCACTGTCACGCGGCGCAAACCTCTATCATTATCGTGATTTATAGACATAATCTGGTTACGACCTCGTGCGATATACCCAGTGCTCGCGTGTCCAGCTCACGGCCAGATGCAGCCGCGTAGTTCAAGGTGTGGATAACCGTGCGCTCCAAACGCTCTGGTCTCGATTCAAATCAAGACGAGTTTCGTTCGCGTAAACCGGTTGCGTTTCGTCTCCGCATCGTAATTAATGTACCGTGCCAAGTATACCTCGTCGAATAAATCAGCGTTATCGATGCGCGTGGCAGCCGCCCTATCAATGGCGTGTTCGTCAAATCGCCAATCGTTCGACGTATCACAGCGTGTGACGATAGAAGGCGCGCGACCACGAAGACCAGAGGCGAACGAGATTATCCGCACGAAGCTTCCTTTTGCTTCTCTTTCGATTCATAGAGTTAGCGGATCAGGAATTCATGGAATCCGCGGTATCTCGTTTCGATGACGAGGAAGATCGAGATCGACGAAGTTTCAGGTTTTTCGTGACGCGCCAAAGTTTACTATCAAACCCTTGTTCCACTCGTTTATCCCGTTGAATCTTTTTTAATCCTTTTATCGATTAAAGTCTTTGCCAACGTATCGCAAAATTCCTTTCACGTCGAGTCGCGCGAATTACGAGAAAAACAATTACGCAAGATTTTTTTAAATAAACGCACGCACAGCAAGTTTTGACTAGACCAATTATACGAATAGAAATTTAAAAAACGATTATACGGAATACAAAGATCTTGCGACTACTTGTTTATTAATAACGTTAATAACGAGACGATTTTTACATATCGTAATCGTGTTTGCGTCCTCGTCGCAAATTGGTCCATTTGCGTGTAATAAAAATGGCGATGATTTCGAGGAAGCGGAAGGAACGTTTGTGGCATGCAACGAAATTAGTAGACTTTCTGTTACTAATTCGGTTGAAAATTGTACGTTATTTGGATATCCGAGGCCCGAGTTTCGACGGTTTGAATACACAGTAATTCGACGTAATTGACGTCAATTGGCTCCTAATTGACGTAAAAGTAAATGACGATCGTTTGTTCTTTTATGTAATGTGCCATTATATGAAGTACAAATAAGATAGAAGGAACGAGCGACAATGTCAAGTATTTAATGAAAGAGCGCTATCCGTCTGACAGTCCGTCTTTATGTACCGTATCTTGCCAACGTTTCGACCATCGTGTCCGCGTCAAATACCGTTCGATTGCGATATTCGACGATCTTTACGCGCGATCGCGCTTCTCCAGAAATTGCGAACCGTATCTCACGAAAACACTCGATGTTCGAGAACGAAATTTTTCAGGATGAACAATCTACGCGAACGGAAAATTGATCGGAACTGAAACAATCGATCGTTTCGTTCTACAAAATGTTCCGCGGATTTGTACTCTGACGTATGCAAGAAAACTCTTCAAATCGTTACAGCAGAAACAATTATTTTCATTTTTCAACGTAAACACGCACACATAGGAATAACAGAAACCAGAAGAACGCGATAGGAAGAGAAATTATGGCCTTTGGAAATAAATCAGGATAAAATTACCGCAGAACATTCCGGTTGTCTACACAGCAGTTAAAAATAGCAATTTTCTACATTTCCTTTCTGCAATGTACATATACACGAACACGCGAAATTATTATACGTTATATATGCGTAATATGCCGAGTGTTGCGTAGAAGCGTGAAAAAAATGGAAATCAGAAATCGATTCGCGGTATAAACTTTTTGTACAGTTCCCTTCTGCCCGGTTAACTCGGTTGATTTATGCCAAGAGGTTTAGGGAAGTTTTGCGAGGAGAACCGCGTGTAACCGAGTTTCGCATAACTTTCGCCAAACACCAGAAACATGCAGCAATCGTCTTCGTCTCGATTAACTCACTTGGACCTCCGTTTCATGGCGTCTTCTTCGACCAGCCTGCTATTGATCACGCGTTAAAATTCACCGATCGGGGACGATCATCGATAGATGATCGATGACGAAAGAGGAGCGAAGACGACGGGCGTCTGTTCGTTCAACCGACTGCGAGAAAACTGGCCCCACGTGGAGGACGTGTCGAGCTAGCACGAAATGGCCAGTTTTATTTTCGTACACGCCTCTTGGGACTCGGCATACCCCATGGACGGGCCATGCGACGAGTGCCGATTTACGATCTCATCGACCAACGTCTCAGCCACCCCACAAAGCTTATTAACCCTTTCTTCCACGCCAAGTCCCGTATCTCGTACAGATGGTGTTTTCACGCGTTGTTAACACGATTAGTATCGGTAAAATTTGGAATAGAACTTGTATAATACAGGGTGGGTCGATAAGAAATATTTTACGTATTAACTAAAGTAAATCGTCGTTTGATTTTATCATCTGAAACGAATTATGTCACGTTCCAAGCTACTCGTCGGATGCACGAGACGTTAATTCCTAATATCTCACATTTTCCGAGATATCGAAGTATAATTAACCGTTGAAACATCTTCCGTGTCTCGTTATCTTACCGAGTCAAAGTTGAAGCTTCTTGTCTCGTTAGAATATAAAAAAAAAAGTTGAAAAAGCCTCGCGTAACGTACTCGTAAAAAAGACTCTGTGGCAAGCGCTCGAACACTTTCACGATGTTGCTCGTATATCACGGTAATCGTTCGAAGAAACGATAGCTGCGAAAGTGAAAAAAAGTTGGCGAGATGCGCAACGATATGATTTGTTCAGAAGAGTGGAGATCGTGGAATGTAATTATCGCGTTGATAAACGGATACGATAAAAAGCATCCGACAAGCTCGTTCGTAGCGCGAGACAGGGAAAGAAGGGAAAAAGGGGGGGAGGAGCAATCGATAAAAAGCACGTCCGTGACCATGATTACTTACGTAAAGGTAACTGGTTGACATCGATCACGTAGTTACATACCTGCAACGGAAATCAAAATGAAAGAGTATTATTAAAAGATCGTCGAGCCGAGGTATAATATGTAACATTAACATGTAACGTGTCGCTTAAAATTATCTTCAAATAATCGTAAAACGGTGCGGAAAAATTTCCCGTCTCTCGAGGCGATAGCGTCTAATGAGACGAATAGAACACGAGCTATGGAAAGAACGTGTTGTAGATACAAGGAACAGGAAGTTACTGCACGTAGAGAAGTTCGTGTCAAAAATGTGGAACGAGATTTAGCAATATGAAGCCTCGTTTTCAAGGAAACACGCGTCCTTCGATACACGCGTGCTCGAGGAGACGTCAAACTCGATCTACGGTACAATTGTTCCGTGTGAAATAATAACGGTAATAAATTTGTGTAAAACGTTTAAAGTATCTCGTTGGGGGAAATCGAATTGGAAAATTCGCAGTGCGTACGCGTATCCAATTAATAGCGTACAGACTCGATTTTCTCGAAGAGACGAGTTCGAACGAACAAAAATTATATTCCAAGAAACTTCTCCTCTAATTAATGCGTTCTTTCCGTAACGTGATTCATTAAGAAGAATTATCGTTTTCCTGGACTAATTAGAAAAATTATACGCAGTCGTTACTTGCAGCAAGCAACATGTAACGCACCTACGGCTATTACGTTGAAGGCTCTCGTTAACAAACGATCGACGAAGATCGATCGAGATCGAAGAACTTGAAAGACTCGCAGATTAGTCTCGCTTGGCGTGAAAAAATATCAAACGCGCCAAGGACACGCGAATCCTTGACGAGAGAAGCCTCGACACAGGCTGAATCGCTCACCGTGGAATTTTCTAGCAAAGGAAACCGTATTCGCGTAGCCTTGTCATCGAGTCGCGATGCGACGCGTCGATAGCGTTCCCTTGCGCTAACCCTCGACGTTCTAGCGCCAGAACAATACCGTGACCCTGTCGTCCACCGACTAACACGCGTTGCATTTTTCGCGTGTGTCGGGGACGCGTGAAATTCCGATGAGTTCCCTCGTTTTAACGAGTATGGAAATTATTTGCTTATTTCTTAATTAACGAGCATGAACCCTTTCATGCCATACGTAATGACTGCATCGTGCATTTTTATGCATATTCACGCTTTTATTATTACACCCAAGGAAATGGAACCTAAGCAACCCTTTCCTTTATCCTCTAAACGTTATAACTTTATTTCCAGCGATTCGCGTATTCTTTCATGCTGTGTATTTTTGCACGTTTAAATTTCCTGGAAATGTATCAACATCCGCGGTCTAATGATCCTACAAGCACCGGTAAAAGGAAGAAATAAAAAGGTAAAACGTAGCAGGTAATCGTTAGCGGTTATAAACGAACGTCTCGTTTAACTCGGTACTTTATACGACAAAGAAAATATTTTCCATTGTACAAGAGTAAGAGAGCTGATCTTCGAAGCTCGTCATTTCTATTAAATATCGAAGCTCCGTTTAAAAGGTAAAGAGTGTTCTATGGCTTTCGAACAGGAGCTATATATATATACGTTATTTCACGTTTGCCAATAAGACCACCGCGACTGAAATTCACCTGTCTTCGTTATCGATTAATTCTCTAATTATATCACGTTAAAATAGGCCAACCCGCGAATAAAATCGCGATAGTTTCATCGCATCGAACGATCAAACTTCCAAAGAATTTTCAAAAAAAAAAAAAAAAAGGAAGAAAAAGAAAAAGAAAGGAACAGGACAAGTAGGAAAATTTCTAACGAAAGCGGATCGATCGTTGAAGCATTTTCACCCATTAGGCACGCGCGCATCAATGCCACAGATATCTGTCCCCACTGTGGTTCGGCGGAAGGAAGAACCGAGGGACGAGAGTGGTACGCTCGTTTATGCTGATTTCAAGTAGGCTGCGCGTTTCGCAAGCCTAATTCCACCAAGTGCCAGGAAGCGCGAGCGTTTGTCGCTTCCTAGGTACCACCCGCGCGAGATCTCGCGCAATTTTCCAATTTCCTCGAGCCCTACCTTCGTAGCCGAAACCTACGCTTCCATCGCGTTCTCTTTCGTCCGCTGACGAAATTCGCCAGTGCACGCTCGTCAGCCGACCTCATCTGCTTCACCGATGGAAGAGTCGCAGCAGATCGTTCGTCGTATACGCAATTCCCTTAAACGAACAACACGGTTTCGATGTGATCCGCGCGAAACGAAAGCCGGTCCTTTTGCAACGTTTTCCCTTGGGAGTGGTTCGAGGTAAAACGAAAGTTCCGCTCCGGCGAAGTTCGTTTCCGGCTGTCGTCGTACGAATCGTCGAAACTTTCGCGGGCCTAATTTCGCTAAGTGCCAGAAGTGGCTGTATTCTGTCGCTGCTTCCTACGTTTACATTTCCACGGCTGACAGCGTCTCTAAATCTCGACGAGCGAGCTGCAATTTTCAACGTGGCGCCGTTAGACTTATCGCTGGATTTCTCCGTTGAATTTTTAGCCGCGTTTTCAATAACGTTCGTCCGCGTTTCGATGCTTATCGTCGCGCTGTATACGATACACCGCATAATGGTACACCGGCGATATAAAATAATTAGACTGTGAGAAGAGAGACGCTAATTACGAATTTCGCGATAACGATCAGACTCTGAGAATCACAGGGATCCTATCGCGATGAAACGAGACGAGTCGCTTCCTCGACGCGCAATTGATAAATCGTATCCTTTCGCTGGATGGCGTCGTCCACGAGTAACCTTCTAGAGGGGATGACAAGGGGCTAGGGTAGCACACCCCTGTCACGAAGACGCGGACGTCTATTAAAAAGCAGAACGTAGTCGAAATGACGTCTTACTGCAACAGGTGCGCTGCTCTAGCTGCTGCAGAAGGTTGCAGCTTGATTAATGTCGCGTTTATTCGATCCAACAGGATTTGTCGATCGAGCAAAGCGCGAGAATCGAACGTTAGGGTTGGTGCAGGCGAACCATCGTTTCTCGCGCATTTTCGCAAGAAGCACGCGGTGCTACCAAATATCGTCGGATAGTTGCAATTACGTACGTTCGTATCACGCGGTCGATCGACCGTGCTGTGATTCTACGTGCAAAACTAAGTCGAAAACGTTGAGTAACTTTTTCTGTTCCAAGCTTCGCTCTCGAGGAGGTACGAATACCGTAAGGAAATTTCATATGTTACGATAAACCACTTTTGCAACTCGAAATTCCAAGTGTTTCTATGCGTACGTACAAGCACGACTTTGAGCTTGACCGCGTCGATCGGTATCAATGATCGATGCTTTAATTCCTAACTTCGCTGTTCAAACGCATATCGAAGCTTACACCTGTTCAAGAAAAGAACCTGTTAGAAAACCTGGTTTAGAAGTATCGTTCGAACGACTGGTTCGATGGAGGCGCGTAAACGCGGTATCAAACAAGTTGAAAGGACATGTAATCGTTCGATCAGAAATAGCCGTTTCTTCTATTTCTGATCGAACGACCTAGTCGATTCGACTACAGTCGCCTTATGTAAACGTGGCTTGAACGGATACCAGCATCAGCGTCAAACGGAGAACGCTCTCCTCTCTCGCCATTTACGTTAGCCTGGCGATCTTGCGTTCCGTGTTATTAATTCTCGATGTCAGCGGTGTGCGAGAAAACCGAGTGGCGAGTTACTCGATACGCGGCCTCGGCATTTCGCGAGGCTCGTGGTGTCGATCCACCGTTGCGACGAACGTGCGGATCGACTTCGACGCGCGTGTCTCTTTTTTTAATATATCTACACAGTGACTCGCAAAAATATTCCAACACTTACCGTAAGAAACTTTCAAGAACGTATTACGTGTTTTAAAATATAAAATAAAATATCTTGAAACTTTATTAATTTTCTACTTTTTCCAGTTTTCACGCCACTATAATAACTGTTCTAGGACATCCAAGAATCGATAAGTATCGGGGCACCGACGCGTTTGCGGACGTTGCCTAAACATCTTACGAATCTAGTTGCCTTCGTGAATTTGTTATCGTCGCCCTGCGATTTCGATGTTGCTTTTGGACGGTATAAGCGACATTTGTTAACGAATAATATCGATAAAGTTGTTCCAAGGACGAGTCAGAGAAAGCATAGCGCATAGTCTAAAATCATCTGAACGCTTGCATCCCCCTCTGCTCTCGTCTTTATCAATCTCGTTTATCGAAAGTATGGAAATACCAGACTCTGAGATGAAAAAACGGTCGACGAAATCATCTGAAATCTTCCGTTTCGTCATCTCGATACCTTCATATGTCTATACGTACGTTTTGATTTATCTACGTCTGTATTATTTCTTGATAAAATATTGCCGAAAAATAACATCAAGATCGTAGAACGGCGCGATGGATTCACAAAAGAAACTGAGGTAAGACATTTACGAACGAGAAACGCAAGTAAAATGCCATTAGAAGAAGACCTCGATCGCTCGGTGAATTAAGATTTAGTCGCTCGCTAAATTTTAGTGGAAAACGAAGAAGAGCGACGAACGGTAGAGCGAAAGTTTCTGACGGAAAAATAGGACGCGTTCGTCCTTCTCGTTGTCTAGCTCGTTATCAGCTAGCAAACGAGCTGTCAATACCGTGCGCTGCTATCTCTACGCGCTACTCCTTTCTCTCTCTTTCTCTCTCTCTCTGTCTCTTACTTAAACGTTCTTCCTCGCTTTCCATCACTGGCTGCCTTTGTGCAACGACTCGCGTTTACTCTAGCCTTGTGCCTAATGACGCCTCGGCAGAGGGAGAACGTTTCTTCTCACAGTCTCGTGGCGTACACTGAATCACGTCATGACGTGTTACCTGCACCCGCTTCGTCGTAGCACACGTGGCTGGCGCGAACCACGTGTACGCGGATATCACCATCCGCTGCACGTTTTCACTTATGCTGAACGTGCAACGATAGATACGCCTATCGCTACTCGTGAACAACCATGCGACAGGCGATAGAAGACGAATGATCTTTTAAAACAATTGATTCTCTACGGTGTCATACGTACATTCCCGTTCATAAGGCACCGGATACTTGGTCGTTTCGAGCGAAAATGATCGTCGGAATGTACATGTCTTGCGACAGTTCGTATATGAATCATGTCGCTCTAACGGTGCGCGTAATAAATCAAATTAAAAAGATAAAAGATTGATAGGAAAAATTCCAACGTTTAATGCGAGCAGCGATATTAGAATATCAAATACGAGTAGCAGTATATCTACAAAAAAAATGCAAAAACGTATTGATAGGTAATTTACATTTATAATCGGGTAAAAAAGGTAACGAATGCCGCTCCTAATTATCAATACGTTGTATCGTTACTAAAAAAAAAACCGTTACTACACATCCATCAATTATACGATTGTTTATGAAAGGTAATATATATATATATATATATGTATGGTTTACATGGAAACCGCCAACTTTGCACAATATCGACTGCGCTGAATCGTGTTTCCACGATTGCACAGACTGGAAAGTATCTAAAAAGGCCGAGAAGCTATCGAAAGGAAAAAAGAAGACAAGAGAGAAACGGGTCAGTAACGTGTTACCACGCGACGCGAAGCGTGAATTAAACCTCTGCACTCGTCCAAGGCCATTTTTACATAATAGTTCGCGGCATCGCTGCGAAACGTCACGAACGTCAGTGGCAAAAAGTGCAAACGCGTTTGCATAACCGGCGGCCTTCGCGGAGGCATTGTTTCGCGAACGGGCACGAACGAGCAAAAAAATCTCGTATAAATAAGGAAATCCTCGGACTCGATTCCGTAACGATCGAACTCGAGCCAATTAACGAAACCATCGAGACAACGTGCATTCCGCGCGTAACATACCGAAGCGACGAATCCAAACGATCATATAGACAGATTTTACGTTGGCTTTTCGATCGAGGTATCTGGAACGTTCTCAAGGCGGCCGATGATCGGCATTGTTGGCAGCTTGAAAATTATGGTCACGGTTCCTTGGTTCCGCGTCGAGAGAGTGCTCGATGACGAGCGTCGAGAAGGTCGACTCGGCGAAACCATTATTTCATACACGCATTCGTCATCCACGCGATGAAATAACCACTTAAATCGCATCGATTCCTAAACGTCGCGAACTTGCAATCGCGAAATTTCTCTTTCGAATTAAATCGAATACGAGATTACACGCAATTACACGTTGCATCTCGCGAGGATAAAATCGAATAGAAATTTGTAATTTTTACGTATAGTGGTTAATACGAGAAAGAACGAAGTATACGAAAGGAAGAATCGTATAAACAGCGTTGTTTACGTTGACTTGAAAAGTCTGATCTATTTTTCTTCCATAAATGTAAGATCGACATAGTAGAATATTTGATTACGCGTAAATTGAACTCGAGATAACATAAAATACACGAATGAAACGAAAATGAGATAAAGTTTATCTATTCTATTCTCTATACTTATAATCGGACTGTGTGTCGAGTTTCTATTTTATACTCGATAACTCGCAAATGTATAAAGATCTGAAAGCTTCGACGCGCTACATCTTGAGATACTCTTTTATTTTTTAAGCGATCTCTTTAAAATTTCCTTTCATATATGGCGAATAGGTTCGCGGGTTATTTGTCTGTCGTAAAAGAGCGTGGCAGTCGGAGAAAGGTTGCGAGACCCTGACCTAAACGGTGTATTCGCGTCGACAAACTTTCCAGCTCTTGGAAAAAAAGGAAGACGAAGGCAATGGCGACCGAAACAAAAGGGAGGAGAAAGCTTTCGCGTGAAATTAAGGCAAAAGGGATTGGTAAATTATTCAGAGACACCCTCTAGTCTGCAGCGAATGGAAGGTGAGAGAAACGACGCGTAAAACCACCCTCGAAGTCTTAAGCCTCCTTTCCTTTTTCCCTTCCTTCCTTCCTTCCTTCCTTCCTTCCGTCCTTCCTCGCTTCCTTCCTGTTTCGTCATCCGCGTTTCTTCTCCACGGTAGGCTGTTTTTTCTTCGCGTGTCTCTCAGAAATCGAGTATAAATATGTAAATACAGGAGCGCGAAACGCCTGTTAGCGGAACGGGTCCACCAACGTTGCTCCTCGTGCAACGCGAGATAATAAATTATGATAATTTTTGGATATTAATTCGCGCAGGATACGGTCGAAACGAAAAGAAGAAAAGAGTGCCGGAACAAAGATGGTCGTGATAAGAGGTTCGGTTAATTTAGCCGCCTTTGTCATGCAGATTCATCGGAAGAATGGCCAACAGTAGGAAACTGATCGTGCGAGAACTACGCCAGGAGACCAGCTTCCACTTCCGCTATCCTCGATCAACCTTGCGGTGCTACAAATATTCGCATAGGATTTTCAAGGTAAAGAAATATCCAACTTTCGGACGCAGAACCGGCCGATCGATATTTCAACTGCTCGGAAGTCATCGATCAATTACAGAGTAACGAAAGAGGCGCTAAATATCGCAATCTTTTACGCATCTCTTTGAAATTTACGTCTATTTATTTATGTTTAATTTATGTTTAATTTATGAAATAACTAATTTTCTTTCTCCAGACGTTCGATTCTAATCGCTAGGATTTGTATGGATTTAGAATGAAACTCAAGGTGTAAAATTAAAAAAAAAAAAAAATGATACATACGTAGAAGATCAAAATAGCCAAAGTGGTGTACGTAATGCAATTCTTGCTGCGTGATATAACAGCGTAAGCCGGGAGCCATCCTAAGCGGAAAGGCGAGGATTACGATACAACAAACGAAACAAAATACAATTTTTTCGAAAATGAAACAAAAATTTCTACGTAGACTCCATCTCTTCGGTTCTGTCTATCAAAATACGCAATTGCAAATCCGCAGTCTAGTAATCGCCTAGCCATTCGAACAATAAAATTCCGTTTATCTTCTGCATCAACTATACGTTAAAGAAGGAGCCACCGCGTCGATCTCTTTCCTTCGATCGATGATCTATCGACGCTTCGAACGACTACGAAAAGCAGGCAACAAAGCGGTACGTGAGCGGACGCGCAAAACCGGGAGATCGCGAGTCCTCGAAGAATTCGAGGAAAAGGAGTTCCGCTCGCGGAGAAACGGTAAGAAAAGGAGCCAGACGAATGCAGAGGAGTACGTATCCGCGACGACGTCGCGGCGATCATTCGCAATGAGTGTAGTCGGCACCGCAGCCTTTGTTTTCCCTGATGACTATGTATACTGTATACGATTGGCTAACAGTAAAACGACGAGTGACTACGATGGCGGAGACTCGTCTTCCGATCGGAAATGCCTAAAACGACTAACGTCGCGAATCGAAATGACGATAACGGTAAATCCCACGGTGACCAACCTGTTCTAGCCTGTACGTTTTTCACGGAAAAACGAGTATCTTTCGGTCTGGCGATACGCTCGCGAATCGATGGGAACCAGCGGCTATAAATAGACAATCACGACGAGTGAATCGCGATGAACGATGACTCGCCAACATATTGCCAATTTGCCGGTGACCGTCGATGCTGCCTCGCGCGTTCGTCGATTTTAAGCGAATCGATTTCTGCCAAAATTCCACGTTCTGCTATTCGCTCCATATCCGACTGTCAAGGTTATGAACGAAAGCTTTCTAGAATCTAAAATATCGGTTTTTATTTTTTTTTTTTTATTTTTTTTTAAAGAAAATATACACTAGGCCGGCAATGTAGTTTTTCGTTAATGCGATCGGCATTACGGGTGTTTCAGTTTTCATTTCTTTGCGCTTTATAAAGAAAATGCGAAAAAGTTCCGAGGTACTTGTTACAAGTCTAATCTACCATACGAGTGATACTTTGGCCGAACGTTTAAACTTTTTTACGATACAAATGAGAACTTGACTCGATGTTACGAAAAATTGGCAATTTGTTCGAAAGTGCGCAGTTTCGTACTAAGCAAATATGAAAAGAAGATACATAATAGGGTTTTTATATATTGCCGATATCACCGATAAGATAATTTAAAGCTAAGGAATTCCTAGATATGCAAATACGTGTTTTTTTAAATATAAGTAGGTTAGAAACTGGAACTTGGAAAACTGTGCAAAGAGTACTTTGCTTCCAACATTTGACGTATTTCCACGTAGTGTCGCATTGCATTCTGCGCACTTTCTTTTCTACAAATTGCCCACAAGCGCGTAAAAATCCGCGGTCTAACGGTTACTATGAATCGCACGACGATACGTTTAATCGTAACCCAAATGACGTACAAATCGACCAAGACGCAATTCGTAATTTGATCGAACGACGACGATCCATAATCATACGGAGGAAAAATTTGGTAGTTCTCCCTCGTAAAAATTCTTCTCACACGCCCATCTACAAACCGGTTACCTAATCGAATTAAGACGTTCCGCGGAACAAGAAGCGCGGCAAAAAGTAATTACTATCCTGGTGAACTTACCAACGCGTGTCCTCCATGCAGCGCGATCGACGACTGGAAAAAAAAGTTCACGGCGCACTGGCAGACGATCGACAAGGCACAAGGTGCACCCGGCCGTGTCGTTCGTCCGCGCTTTACAAACGAGAAGTCGTATCGCGTAGGCCGACATCTCGATTAACGACGTATCGTCGCGAGCGATCGTGCGTGCACGCCGCGCCGTTGTATCTTGTCACCGTTCGCATGCAGGTAAGTCGCAGAGGGTCGCAGCTGACCCGGCCTGGCCGGCCTTAATCGTTATCGGTTGCTCGCAACCGGTAATTACAGGTGGCACCGGCCGAAACCACCTGTTACTAACGACAAGTTATAACCGGTGCTGTATGTACATGTACGTACGTCTATCCTGAGTGTACTAATTGTAAGTGTGCCGTGACTTATGCATGCTGACTTATGACTGATGCGCGTTCGGGCGACCAATTCGCGTTGACCTCGGTCGATGACTAAGGAGGAAAAATAATTGCTTTCTTGGCAAAATGTTTCGAGTAAATTGTAAACGGAAGAACCGCTTTGTCTCGTGTGTTTACTGAATCATCGTGAACCAATTATTATACTTCGTTAAGCTCTGTGTACGTTATAAATAGATCGGGTATACGCAACTTCCTTGAAAAATAACCAGCGATAGGATAATTTAAACAACGATTACGACGATAAAATAATCGTTCATTGTGGTCACAGTGTCGTTTCCCAACGATATATGATTTTTCAGGCCAACCGATAGACAGTGAAACAAGGTAGACGCGTTGTCGAAGCGCACAGAGAAAAGTAGAACAAACTCGTGCGTCTCGCATGGATCGCGAATCGATCCCTGCGGATTCTTCTTATTCGCAACTTCCACTTTACTATTCGTAAGCGAGCATTGTTCGAGAGTGGCACAGTAAATAACGAGTGGCAAGTTTTCCGCGATTAATGCACGGCACACGCGCGCTATTCAAAGTAAGACATCGCGTCGCGCTACGAGAAGCATACGCAACGATGCGATTTGTGGGCGTTAACTCGACCTCCGATTAACTTTTAACGCTGCGAACGAAATACGCACCTTGTCACGCGCGACCTCCGATTTGCAAAATTAAACGAGCTCCTCGAAGGAACTCGAAGCTTAATTATCGCGAATCACGAGCAAAAAAAAGGTTCGATCAAACTATAAGAAGGAAAATGCATTTTGATCTATCTAATTCCTCGTTACAGTCTCCCGAAACAGCTCTTTCGTTTTTTCTATTCGTTCGAAACGACGCTCGAAGTGCGTCCTGATAACCGAGGAATGTATCAGATCGTCTGGAAAGTTTCTTTCGTTTTATAAGAAAATGATGGAAACACAACATTTTTCGTTTTATGTTATTTTATCGAATTACGTACGATCCATTTTGTTCCATCAAGATGAAGATCACAACGTTCGATAGATTACGTCTCACGTTTGTATAAAGAGAAACACTTGTCTGTAAAAGAAAAACACTTTTCGGACAACCTGATATCCGATGAAAACCACGCCACGACGTCGGAAATAACAAAAACTGCTTCAAACAACAATACGAGTATAACTACGTAAAAGTACGAAGCGGTGGAAGAGCTCGCGACTGAATCATCGAGGAAGAAGAAGTCGCGACAGGTTTATAACGTAAACACCAAATGCATCTTTAAAAATCCTGCCGCGCTGCCACAGTTTTTCACCAACACGGCAACACGGTGGTTGCAAAAGAAATCGATCGATCGTTGTTCCGCTGCAAAGACAAGCGCGTCGCCGCTATGCGAAATCGTTAATCGCGCGCATTTCCGCGCTGCGAGCAGAGAAGTAAGCGGACAGACTCGTTGGTAATTATCCAGAACGTTTCAAGCTCGACCGCTCGATTTTGTAATGGAGTCCGGAGTCGAGCCGCGGCTGTCACGACACGCGAAACACGCCAAGCTGGGGCGTTGCCGACAATGCCGCCTGTGTATTAATTAAGTAACTGCGGTGACATCGTTGCAACTAATTGCCATTCTCGGTGGCCTCGCTCGCCGAGAATCTAGGATTTCCGACCGCTCCCGCGGTATCGAAGCGCGTCTCTCGATAGCATCGGGTTATACCGGAAGCAAGAACACGTATTTTCTTTCGTTGAAACTCCCCAGCTGAACAATCACCGTGCTAACTGGGTCGTCTCTTAGCTCTTAGACGCGAGTTAATTTTGGCTTCGTGCCTTTCTTCTATGAAATTACATTTGTTGAAACTCCATTGTTTGACATAGTCCGAGAGATGCCAAGACACGGGCCGAGAAAGAAAAAGATCGCTGGATCCAGGGCGTTAAGAATGTTAAAAACGAAATCGTGCGATGGTACGGATGAAAAATACGATTTTTAAATTGCTTCGCGGAATTGACGCGCGATCTACCATACGAGCGGTGATTAAAAAAGTAACGTTTAACGAGCAATGACATTTACCAATTATTATTCGTATTATCGTTTATGCTAAAGGACAAACTCAAAAAATTGTATTGGCTAACGGGCCGACGCTCCAAACTAAACACACAGAATCAAATTACCCTCTATAAGACCGTAATGAAACCTGTCTGGACCTACGGGATCCAACTGTGGGGAACAGCAAGTAATTCCAACATTGAAATACTTCGACGCTTCCAATCGAAAACGCTGAGATCCATTATAAATGCACCCTGGTATGTCACCAACGAACTAATACATCGCGACCTCAAGATACCAACAGTCAAAGAGGAAATAGCAAAATATAGCGACAGATATAGCAAAAGAGTCAACAAACATCGAAACCTCCTAATTACTGGACTACTTGATACGTCGGACCAGATCCGCAGGCTGAAGAGACACAGCGAAGAGACGCTAGACCTAAACGCTAGATTCAATTAGTTATCTAAATTAATTAATATCTACTTATTTATAATACATACCTATAAAATATACTTATCTATATTAGGTATTAACTCATTATAAATAATTAGCCATGTCACTGCGCCGCGCCAGAAAAAATTACTGTAAATTCTCAATGCGAGAATCGATTGTAAATTTTAATAAATAAAAAAAAGAAGAAAAATATTATCGTTTATATTATTAGTAACAGTTATTCGTAGTAATTCTTTGCGATTTCTCGTTCGATATTCCACGGTTCTTCGATTCAATTCAGCGTTTTACCTGGATGTTCGAATAAGACGAAAAATCGATAGGATTTTGGTAAAACGAAAATTACAGAATTACCAGATACCGCAGGAGCATTTCATCGACACGGGTCTAATACAGTTACGTTACATTTCACAGTCCATTTTGGAACGATGCATCGCTTTTTGTTCCGCTTTGGCGATCGCTCTACGAATGCAGGGCAAAATAATCATGCAACGTTGTACAGTTCGAGAGAATCGTTAAAACGTCGATCGAAGTAATTCATCGATGACGGCGATCTTACGCAAGCTACGTCGACGATATCATCTTGCCCACCTAGATCGCCTGATTTAACTACACCACGCTTCCTCTTACGGGATTTTCTTCGAAGTAAAGCGTACGTCGATAAACCGAGCACGATCTGAAAGATGGTATTCGATAAAATTTCGCGCGAAGACGTAACGAGAAATGTACCGCGTCCTCAGGCGTACACATTTCAGAAATGATATTCCGCGTATAATTTCCAAGTATCTATCGATATGTAAACGTCGTCTTTCATCTCGTCTGAAAGTTATCGACGATGAAATTCAAGCGAAACGCACCTCGATCGACCTATATTTCGCGTATTGCACGCCGTTGTCCCTTAAATATCATTGTTTCGCCACAGCTTTCTCTGCCTACCTCGCTCGATTCTCGGGCTAAATAGGTACGCGACGTCGAGCAGACGAATTAGTTTCTAATTGGGTCGCGTTAAACAGGCCGCGTCGCGTACACGGGGTATTGTTCGAGTTCGATCGGCCCGCGCCAAGCCAGTGCCCTCGTTCGTCCTCCCTTTTTTCCGTGGATCGCTCGCAGCCCGACATAAATCACCTTTCTTTCATCTTTCGCATCATTAGTCTCGCTGACGTGGCGCTTATGTGCACGCTCCCACAAAGCCACCCCTGGTACGTGCTCGCGTGCCCTCGTCAACGTAACCGCGAGGGATGTGTCCCAAAAGCGAGCCACGATTCTTCTCGTAGCCGCCGTTGCCTGCAAGCGTCACGCGTTTCCGCTCAAAGACGCGTCGACGCGCCAAACGTTTCAGCGACTCGTGAAAGCTTAAGTCGCGCGATATCGAAGAAAGTGGAAAACGATCGCTGGAATTCGCGCTGTACGCGAGTTCGATGCAAGCCGATTAGTTCAATTATCGTTATCGATCCCAATGTGGCTACTGTGCGACTCTTTCGTTAAACGCTCTTTGCTTCGCTTATTGTTAGGATCGCTGTGATCGAAATAATCGAGCGACACGATTCCCGCGAGACGCGTACGTCTGATTACGCGTAACGAACCGCCCTGAGCGAACACAACGACTTTCACGGAGCAGGATCTTTTTATCGTGGAACGACTTTTTAAAATCCGAGCCTCCGGCAGAAGATTACGCGATGTAGATGTCGACGGAAATTGAGATCCATCCGCTTAAACTCCTCTAATTTCTCCGACTCTTCTCGATTTTATATTCAAAGTACGCGGTTACATGGAAACGTAAAGATATTTCAAAAGTGAGTATACAGCTGCAGGGCACGAAATTTACTCGGAAACTTTTACACGCGACTTTTAAACTTTTCAACTGAAAACCCATCGAAAATATGTAAAGTACGTAAGAATAATAATTCATAGTAAAAGATACAGTCGTTATTGCACGAATCTCGTATCTTTAAAGGTACGCTCAACTTCTGACTCTCGCTCGTATTTCTTTCGTTTAAATATCTCACGCTACTGGCAAGTATCTAATATCATTCACTGGTCACCCTGGTCGTAATCGACATGCCAAGTAAAATTCCAACGTTCTCGGTAAATATGCGAAGCATCGACCGACAAACGATCCAGCGTTGATAAAGTCATTCTATTCAAAGAGAGATCGTAGGGCTTGGAAACGAAAGTTTCGTGGCCGGACGCAGTGGGCGTCGAGCATGGCGGTTCATTAGAGTCACGAAAAAACGCTGGCTAGTCGTTAACATTTAAAGATCACTGGGGAAAGACACGATAGGCACGTTCTTGTTGATTTTCTCATTTTAGTATCGCCGTACGATTACAAACGAGAATGTTAATACGACATACCAGCCGAAACGAATCACTTCTTAGGCGCAAGGATGTAAGCTTTCTTTAGAAATAGCCGATAAGTCGTCGAAAGTCTATGAAAGCCAAACGATTAGGACAAACGATAATTATATCATTTTCAACGAGCTCCGAGCGTGTTAAAATAGAATTTCGGTAGTACGATCGATCAGCAACACGGTGAATCTTAAAGCCGTGGAAGATAGAAAATGTGGCTTATCGTGTTTTCGTCCAGTGGCCTTCGTTTGTGTCGTTCGGGAGCTACACCGATATCGTCTCCATAAATTCAAATTTATCTCGAAGCTTGCTATCGTTTGTCACCTTCTTGCAATAAGTATACTCGTATAGAAGTAAGCAACTTGTTTCTGGAAGATCGAACATTAATCTTGGCGTGTACTCGTACGATGAAACTAAGAAATCGACCGTTGACACCTCTAAAACACTGATTTGTTA